CCCCACAAGCAGAGTGAGTTTGGGCGAAAGCGAGGGGCAAAGTGACGTCACCCCTTCAAAGTTGAGTGAATGGGCAGCATAGTGGTTTGGAAGATTTTTTTAACGGCTGGGCCTGTGGGAGGCTGTCCCAACCCTGATCCGTGCTTTTGGATGGGCAATCGTTTACGATCCTCAAGGGACTTATTGAGGACTTCATACATACGTATGCTGTTCTAGCATTAGCCCTCCATAAACAACGTGGTCTCACACATTCAAACGTCACACAAGTAGGTTTAGGGTCACTCACCATCGACTCAACCGCATATTGTGGCTTTAGGTTTTGACATGCAGGACACTTTAAATATAGTATTTACAGTACAACACTCTTCAACACACTTTGCATGATTGAACGAGGAAGCAGCTGAATTTTTAAAACGTATCCAGGGAGAGTTTTCACAGAACATACTGTACAGTCTGCTCTTTTTCAGAAAGGCACTCATTCACACCAGAGCTTTCTGCTCATACACACTGTTAAACTCCACCAGAGCATGTGGGGATTAAAAGTCAAAGTCTTTGTTAAGAAGGGGGTAAGAGAGAGTTGCCCGAAGAATTTCCTCAACAGTTTGGAATTCCAGCTACAACCACACCTTTAATGGCTAACGTCGTCTTATTCACACACGTGTCAAATTAATAGCACTTGTTAGCAGCTACCTGGGAGGCTATCAACACTCCAATCTCTATGTGACGGCTCCCGTAAGATGTTCGGACATGTTAGCAGATGAAGTACTGTCAATGAATTGAGGTTACAATAATGAAATGCTGTGTGTTTGTGTGTGTCAGAAGAGTGTGTGTGCGGCAGCGGTGGGCCCTGCGAGCGACTCTCTCCGTGCTCAGAGCCTCTGGCAGCGAGCTCACAGACGTACGGGGTTTCCTCAGCCAGCTGACAGGGGCCTGGCAGGCCTTCAGATCCCAGATACTGCAGCACAGCACACAGGTGTTTTCAGGTAATACTCACACACACACACACACACACACACACACACACACACACACACACACATATATACCTACAATATATAATTATTTTAACATTGTAATCCTACGTGTTATTATTGAACACATGTACCAGTTATCAGTTTTATATCCTTTTTTATGTAACTGTTAGGGAATACAGTTACTTTGGTTTGTATCCTGATTAGGTAAACACAGTTCATAGATTTGTTTTGCCTGTGCTACAAACACTTGCCTTTTGGGAGACCACACAAGACAACTTTATCTAGATAAGGCACAACAGACAAAAAGATAAAGCATGAATTAACCCTAACTCAAGTTTCTGAAAGAGTCAGAAGATTGGTTTGGAAACAGAGAAAGGTGTATGTGTTTAATGTATTGCGTTCATATACAGTATATATATATATGTGTGTGTATGTGTGTGTGTGTCTGCGTGCGTGCATTCCTGGGTGTGTATTTTATTGCATGTGTCGATTCGTGCAGCAGCTGCCTTTCATGCTCGCGTCACTAAACAAACACACACTCACACGGCATCACTACAAACAGCAGACTGCTTTCTTCCTCTTCCTCTATCAAAACCGGTTCCCTCCCTCTTTCCCTAACACACACACACACACACACACACACACACACACACACACACACACACACACACACACACACACACACACACGGCAGCTGTGTAGAACGTGCAGACCCACCCATGAGGTGAGCCTGGGGTGAGCACTGCGTCGGGTATTTACTGTCAACTAAGAACACACACACACACACACACACACACACACACACACACACACACACACACACACACACACACACACAGCCTTCTCCTCTCACTTGCAGTCTATTTAAAATGTTCATCAGTTGACAGTATTTACACATTTACCCTCAAACACACACACACATTCCTTCGTCTCTTTAAAAGGCTACAGGAGTTTGTGCAGCGACTATAAACACACATTTACACACACTCATTATAGTCCTGGATTGTGGGTGCTGCCCTCAGAACTTGAAGAGTCAACGCTGCAGTTAAACTAATATTTACTCCTTCTCAGAGATTATTTGCTCTCTTTGCCTCGATTTTATTTCCAACGTTTCTCTTTCATGTCCAGCCCTGCATTACGTAACTCTGTGTGGATGTCCTCTAAATGACTCTCATCCGTCTAAATCTCATTTTCACACTCTGTCCGTTTACACTTCCTCAAAATGCAGAGGTGGAAGATCATTTGCTAAAGTAAAACCACAGTGTAGAAATACCACTGGTGGAAGTACATTTACTTAAGTACTCTACCAAAGTAGAACATGGATTTACTTTTACACAAAAACCTCTTTACACACTATAGGAAAGGGAAACCCCAAAAAGCATTATAGGGCCCCGTTAATAGTTGTAATACGTTTTGTCTGTATTTCCGTAGAAAAGGGTCTATATCCAGCGAGAATGTGTGAACACATTTGTAGTTGCAGTTTTTAACAAAGCTCACACCTTAGCCCGTCACCAGCATCCAACTCCGGAGTGATATGGGTGTTAACCGGCTATTAAACCATGTGCTACCTGTCTGTCAGCGTTCTGTGGTTAGCGTCTAACAGCAGAAGAAAAGGAGAAGGGGGAAGAAAGGACAGAGAGAAACACAAGGAGGTTGCCTAATGTGAACAGATGAATGTGGTTTACGGTGAGGTGGAGGAGAAGAGGGAGGAGACGAGAGAACAACCTCAAGGGATGTGGAATTTTACAGAGAACAAGACGAGCACTGAGGGCTGAAAACATAATCCATCTCTGCTCACTCTGTGCAGATGTCCGCAGGAGACTTGTACAGCTTGATCTGAAGGTGGTGGACAGAGAGCTTTCTTTCAATGTGAAAAAGAGGTTGAGGGTTGACAGGGTAATCAGGTAAAAGACTATGGTGTGTGTGTGTGTGTGTGTGTGTGTGTGTGTGTGTGTGTGTGTGTGTGTGTGTGTGTGTGTGTGTGACCGAATCCTGAACCGCAGCCATCTGCCAACACCCCGGGCTATCCTTACACTGAACAGTATCTTTTTACCCGGAAGCTAACTTTGTATGTGTGTGTTAGTTTGTACTGTATGTGTGTGTTAGTTTGTACTGTATGTGTGTGTTAGTTTGTACTGTATGTGTGTGTTAGTTTGTACTGTATGTGTGTGTTAGTTTGTACTGTATGTGTGTATTAGTTTGTACTGTATGTGTGTGTTAGTTTGTACTGTATGTGTGTATTAGTTTGTACTGTATGTGTGTGTTAGTTTGTACTGTATGTGTGTGTTTGACAGTAGCAATTTAAAAAAAAACATTAAATAAGTTCTCAGTAAGAGTTTTCCTTTGTAACCCCCCCCCAGTCCAGCACTGTCTCCATGTCTTTTTTTCCTTACTTGTCCATAGCTGTTCCTTCGAGCAGAATACAAACCAATGTTTTTACATAAAACTAAGAAATACTTCTTGTCATATAAACCTTAAATCCAAGTGCACAAGGAAAATAAAGATATATAGAAATAATAGAAAATATATGTATATATACTGTATGTATTAATAAGAAGAGAGTTCGAGAGTAAAAGGAAAATAAAAATGAATAATACAAAATAATATTCAGCGAAGTTCAGTGTTTTTTATGAAGACATTTCATTTCTACTTAACTATTGACTCCGAAATGGTTCTTGCATCACAGCAGCTCCATTTGCAACATCAAAAACTAGGACACATTTTAAGACAAGTGACAAGGAAACAGACATTTAACAAACTATAACCATCACTGAAAACAGTATGTTCAAGACACTCTAACGTACATTTGACCTGGGATTTAACTGTGTTTAAATGGTGCACAAAAGAGGCTTCAGTTGAACTTCATTAAATTGTGCGACCCATGTATCTCTGATTTGATGGAAACAGTTCATATCCAGAGACAATGTTAGTATGTTGTTATGGTCGGCTGATTCATCGTTTCTCAAAAGGTTGACCTACAATCTTTGAGCACTCTAAATCACAGATGTAAAAAACAGGAGAAGAGCCGGTCTACTCGCCCGGCGATGGAGACAATAAATTCTCTGTTTTGTCCAAGAGAGAGCTATATTGTTATAAAACATGTTTCTTTGTTAGTTGGGCACTAATTTCTCTCTGGGAGGACAAATGGTAAATTCCAAAGTATTTCTCCACTCTCTCCAATCGTGCACTTTTAAAAAATGTTCCGTGGTATTGAAGTGCTTTTATTGCACATAATAAACTAGGCAAACACCCAAAAATGTTTGTGGTTCCCGAGCACTGAAGAATGTGATATTATAGTTATACAGTCTCTTGTAAGAATTCCCAGGTGTTAATAGGTTACTGCAAAGGTGATTTACAGAGTGCAGTTACAGTGAGCTACCTTTACATTGACTCATATAATGTAAATCTCAGCATACCTGAGGCGCCGGGTGTGTCTTCATTTGATTTATAGTTTATGTTATTGCAGAACATAGAAAATCAGTTTGTGGTACTTCCTTCTTGGAATCTATTCACACTCATTTGTTTGATTAAAGTCTGAAAATGTATATACAATATAGCCCTTTCTATTCATATGTTATGCAATACTAAGATATATTTTCTTCATGTGACACCGACATCTCTTTTTGATTTTCGTGTTTTCACTGAACCCTACAATATCAGTTTGCTAGTTTTAGCTGAGACTTGTTGTCATTAGCATTTCTTTGTCTTCCAAGTATCCTTGCTTTGCTGCCTTATGGTTATCTAAAAGCTAATGATTTAGCATCTGAGCCCCACTTATGAAATCATTGAGAATATTGGATGCTTTTAGATTAGTCTACAACCAATCAGATTTGTTTAACAAGGACTATTTCCTGTTGTATTGCTGTGTCAATGCATGGAAACATGGCTAATTCTGGTGATGATGTTGCCGTAAATATAAAGTTATCAGATATTCAATCACTAAAAACCTTCCTCAGTGTTTCTGTTACGTTCCCTATTGGGCTAGGGGAGCCAAAGGGGAAATAACACGACCAGAGTGGTATTGGTAATAATAATAATAAGTGGTTTTATTACGACAAGAGAGAAAAATGGACTACCTATGTTGCAAATGTATTATCTTTTCAATTTACACACGGCAATTATTGCAAGTCTGTCCGTCCTGGGAGAGGGATCCCTCCTCTGTTGCTCTCCCTGAGGTTTCTCCCATTTTTCCCTTTAAACTGTGGGGTTTTCTCTGGAAGTTTTTCCTTGTACGATGTGAGGGTCTAAGGACAGAGGGTGTCGTATTGTCATACTGATATTCTGTACAAACTGTGAAGTCCACTGAGACAAATGTAACATTTGTGATATTGGGCTATATAAATAAACATTGATTGATTGATTGATTGAAATTCAAAAGGAAGTTTATAAAGGAACAAAACCCTCCCGTTACACGGGGTAAAAAATGTGACTCAAGAAAGCTGCACACACNTCGTACCGTGAGTTTTTGGTTTCGTTACATCTCTAGTAAATACTTCCATGCCTGAATGTCTGAAGCTTCTATCTGTTCCGTAAATGTTTTTCATTCAACAGCTGAATAGCTTTGCGTGATCATTTGTTGAAGTCCTGTACATAGATAATTACAAGAGCCAAACATAACGTAGGCTAAGGACATCTCATATCTGTACGTAACACCAAAATCATTTTTTCACAATGATCTGTAATGTTTTATTCGGCTATACCTGATCAAAACTTGGGTTAAGTCCAATTTCTGGCCCAAACAGGATTTGTGTTTGAGGACCATTTTGGGAAACTATATTCAATGTCATTAAAACTATCGCCTGTGAAGCAACCAAACTGTCAGTACAAAGATGTGTCAGTGTGCAGGGTCCATTATTTCATTTGAACGAATAAAACAAAAAAAAAGTATGAATATTTTTCTTTTTTAATGCCTAAATCAAAGCGTTATAAATTCAAGACTAGTTTAATGTTTTGCCAGCAATTATTCCCCTCCTTTAACAGTGTCATCATATTCGATTATTTCCTCAAACCCCCATGATGATGATACGGAGATAAAAGCAGGAGCAGTGGGGTGTCTTCATGGTGTGATTTTCAGAGGAGTATGAGTTCATGTTTTGAATATAAAGAAATCACTCTTTCGTATTCATCTTGCTCCACCGCCTCGCCTGCTGTCGGCGGCAAATTGTTTGATAAGGCTCGGGTTATGCTAATGTGGGTTTAACCTGAAGTTTGATAAGAAAGAGAATTTGAGATAAATAAGGTCCTTAGAAACAGCGAGTGTGTGATCACTCAGCAAAATGAGGTTCGATTGACTTTTCTCATTAAAGCAAGCACCTACATTTGTTTTCTCTTTGTGATTTCCTTTTAGAAAATTCATGTTGTCTTTAAAGTGAGTATTAAAGAAGATGAAAAAAGCAAAGACCTTCACCATCTCACGACTAAACTAATCATGCATATATAACACAGAAATCCACAATGAATAACTTACATCTTTAGGATGAGGATCTCATTTTTGGCAGCCTTGCGGACTTTCCTCCCGTCCTTTTTCAGGAACTTTTTACATGTAAACATTTTAACCGTATTTTTGTCCTTGGCTCTGAATATCTCACAGAACTCCTCCCTGAGAAATGAGCATATTGAGGTTAGATTACTTTGAGTAACACACATATTACAATGGCTTGGATCCGAATGAAGAAGATACTCACGATTTAACAATCTGACCCAAGTCATATTTATCCGTCACCTCCGAAGGATTGTTATAATCCTTCTTTTCCCCGATTGTTAAACAGCCAAATGGCATGGCCACTCCTGACCTGGGGGGAGAAAAACAGAAAAGGGAGAGAAGAAATGAAGCTCTTAATCAGAAATATGAATTTACCCTGGAGGGGAATTGGGTTTTGTGACAGTTGTTCCATTTTAGAATAAAGGATTAATCAAATAAAATAGAATAAATGTGAAAAAACATGTTGAAATAAGATATAAGCTAAATAAATGTAAGTCAACATGTAAAATAAAGGATAATTAAAACATTATATAAACATGAGAACAACACATTCGTCAGTCCATCAGGGTGTAATCTCTTTTCTTTTTATAGATGTTCGGATAAACTTGATGTCACAGCACTGTGCCACAATATTACACAGTAGATCATGACTTGGCAAAAAGACTTGGCACTAAGAATAACTGCTGACATAGCCTTTGAAAAGTGAGAGCTAAAGAGCCACCAGAGGCAGTCTCTGCATTGTAACGGAGCCTTTCATGATCCTGCATTAATTAAGGCCAGGCTCAGCTTTATGCTAATATCCACCGCGTGTAATAAAACAGCGAGGGGAATGTTTTTGCCGTGAAGTCTGGACTGTGTGTTCCTGTGTGTCTCTGTGGGGTGATGGCTGCAGAACACAGGGGTCAGGGAGCAGAGAGAGAAACGGCTAAAACAGACGGAGAGCCCAGCAACAAGTGAAGCATTTCCCATCAGCAATGGGAGGCAGCGATTACAGCACCCTGGACTCTGAGAGGATTTACTGGAAAGTACTCTACTGGCTCTGCATCAACACTTGAACACCTAATTGCGCCGGAGCCTCCCTGTGCCTCTCACACATAGCTCCGAGTGAAATCTGAGAGCAGCAGCTTTACTGCGGGTTTCTCTGTAGTTTTACTGAGAGTCAAATGTTTTATAGTCAGCGTGAGTTGTTATTTTTGTGTTTCAAGGGAAGAGAAGGGTTTCTCCCTGTCAAGAAAATAGAGCAAATTAGCAGTTTTTGGAAGTGTGCTAAAGTAAAATAATGGTCACCTACAGTTAAGGTGTGTGTGCATTGGTTGGTTGCTACAGGGGTTCACTTGCAGCTTGGCCGCTATAAATCAATGAATTTATTCAGTTGCATCACCAGCGACAAACAGCCTGATGCCTGGATGTCTGATATGTGCTCCATTCACCCCCATATGAAGGAAAAGTTGGGATTCAATTTGAGATAATATTGTTTTGTTTTGTGTGTGCGCAATGGAAGTGTGGTTGCTAGATAGGGAATGTGCTGGATAAGTGTAAATAGAATCTTGTATGTAGCTCAACCGACATCATTTATGTTTTTGAGGTTGACATTTGCTGGGGAATTGAAACACGTCCTCATACCTGAATGACAAAGCCAGCCACTTGCTAAAGGAATAACCACTTAAAACATTGTGAAACGTTTGCAGAATGTCAACAAATAAAAATGTAACTCCCTCTTGAACTTATGTAACACAGTACAGGAAATCGAACTCCACAAAAAGCATAAAATGGCCTCTTTAACGCTGTGAAAATTAATTCATATACACTGTACACGCCGCTTGATTCGGATTAACTCCAAAATGTAAGGGGTTCTTTTGTGGTCTATGCTCTCATGCACTAATTTTCTTTCAAATGGAGGCTGTAGTGTAGTAGCAGTAGTAGTGGGAAAAAACTCAACAAATCTACACTACCATTACTGACTGGATATTCTGTAAATTAGGCTGCTTGGAGCCAAAGCACAGCTGCAGTGTTGAAAAATGATTCCGTAGCCAAATGTATCTAGTTAAATAAAAGCGTGAAAAACACTTTTTTCCTAGCCACACAAGCATCCATCTGCACCAACAGTCCGGATGATGGATGTCCACATGTAAATGCGAGCAGGCAGCATAAGAAGTTAAGCATCATGTGAAAAGAAGGGCAATCTGTTCTCTGTAGCTCCACCAACCGACTTGTAATCCAATCTAAATGAACGAGATGCAGCGCCGAGACGCCTCAAATTCCCGAAGGAAAGCTGTGCTCTCTGTCAACTTCCTGCACTCCTCAGAGTCTGTGTTGTGTAGTCGGTGCGAGGGCCTGACCTTTCCTGGCTGACTCGGATTCTTTCACTTTCGATAATACCGTACCATCTCTCCGTGTTAAAGGCTGTGGCTCAGTGAAGAAATGCTGCAGACAAGAGAGCGGAGTTCTGCAGGGCCAGTGGATTAAATGGATGTTATTCTGTCTGGCGGAAGCAAAGCATTAGCAAGCATGTCAGGAAGAAAAATCTATATTACGCAAGAAAAATATATTCTGCAAGCAGCTATAACGGTCCACAGGGGAGTTGTTGCATTGTGGAGAGGAGAAACGGAGAGCGATTCTGATGATAATGAAATCTAAGAAGTCTGAAAAAAAGCACATTCAGTGGAGACTTGTTTTTCAGGTTCATGTACTGGAAATGACTCTAACTCACTGAGACTATGCAGACATTCAGAGAGACCAAAGGATTAGCTCAATATCGGTTTCAGTTGCTCTTGTTTTTTAAAAAGACGTTACACGAAGCCCATGTCTATATTGCCTTTTTTGAACATACTTTAAATTAAGTTGTAATCTTCTTACAGCACTTTTTTATTTCAATTATAAGCACTCATAAACATGTGTAATGTATATCCAGTGAGTGGGCGATTCATTAATAATAAGTTGGGAAACATAAATACTTGCATGTATGGAAGCTAAACGGCTAATGGCTAAAAGTTACTGGATGGAGGAGAAGGTACAATTGCACATTTCTACAAAAGCAACAGCCAACGGACTAGTATATCCCTGATTGCACAACAAAACATACGAATACATGTACATTATATAAAGTGGCTGACCTCCGGGTCCCAAAAAAGCAAGCTAGTGTGCAGGGAAATGTTTACTGTTTGGCATCAGTCCCAGACTTATCATAATCTATTGTGTGATATTGCTTAATTATACAGTAAAGTGCTATAATGACACATTATACTGTAGGTATGGACTCCATAGCAAGTGTTACCAAACGTGTGACTTACTGTAAAGAGAGAAGAGAATCATTCGGAGAGGAGAGAGGATGCGTGTGGTATCGTATAACTGAGGCTGCATAATGGGCCCATTTGGACGGACCACCATCAGCAGCATTCAGACATTACCACCCCATATTCTGACTGTTATCTGCACTGCAAGAGCACCGATCGATGGCCTGCGATGCTTTATAGCCCAGTATGTGATCTGCTGGGCTGGGCCACCCTGCTATATCTCCCCTGATTTACTGCAGTGAAGATTTAGAGAAAGAAAGATGGAGAGTGATAAAGATCTTGGGACTATTAGAAGGAATGCACTTTCTCCTCCAGCTAGGCGAGGCAATGGGCGAATTACGTTTTCCTCGTGAAATCGATGGGAAAGTCTTGTACTGTAGTGCTCGAGTCTGGGCGAAGTTTAGGATTAGGCTAAATGCAGCGCTGAAGTGCACTGTGTCAAGATTTTTTAATGCAGCAGTAAGAAGGATTATTTTACCTGCTGCTTTGGTATAATGCTGGGCGACGCCTCGGGGAAACGGACAGTACCTGTTTGGTATGTTAAGCCTTTAGACACTTGACTGAGCAGTAATCCCATCCTGACATTCCCTGAAAAGATGGAGAAATGGTTCCTTGTTTCTTGGAAATCCTATATTTACTGTCTTTCTTTCACCCTGTTCCCCATGCCCCCCCCTCTGGCTCGTACAGCAGCCACTTAATGAGGATGCACAGGAGATCCGAGCCCATGCATCACACTTGTGCTGCTGACTGGAGGCCAGAACAGATTTACTGAAGTGAAGCTAAACAGTGCTGAGCCTCGCCAGTTATATACAATCTATATTTTACATAGACAACATTCAGCTATAGCCAAGATGAAAAATATGATCAAATAAAACACGCCATTGAGATTGTATATCATTTTGATGGATGATCTGTTTTCACTACACCTTCCTTATCCCACAGCACCATAAACTGAAAACAGATCAAACTAGAAGCACTCTCAGAGTGTAGACCTCTGCCAAGGCCGTTAAAAATGAGTGAAAAATAATGCGTGCATCCGCCCCGTGATAAGGATCCAACATGTAATGGGTTATATAGTGTATTGGCCAATGCTACACCTGTTCAACAAGTCTCATGAAGATTGTGCCTGTAGTTGTTTCATTAAATGTTGACAAACGCACAGCGAACCAAGCCAAATAAATAACCTCCTTGACAGGGGGAAATATATACGACTGATTCGCTCTTCCAAATGTGTTTTGAAGCAAACATAAAAGGTGCTTCGGGAATGTTCAATGGCAAAATGTTTTCTTTCCTGAAAAGTCATAGAACAATCAGCGGTTTGTATACTGTCCAGGCTACTTAAACACTTAGTAAGGATAGTTTTAAGAGTTTGGAGAAAATATACAAGTAAAAAAAATATTATCAAGGAGCAATATATTTAGTTTAATTTGAACAAATGTGCCCCATATTCTCAATATGTTTGAATAGAATTTGATCCTGGTTATTACATTTCCTGCTAAACTTTTCCATATCAAAAGTATCCGTTATTGTAATTTTTAGGCATATTCGTTGCAGACTTGTGACCTTCAAGGCACTTTTATTGCTTTGTTGTGCCCCAAAAAACGTGTTTAATTCAAATTCAAAGCTGCACTAAGCAATATATAATTCACAGTTGCTCAAATCCTGATACATGCAGTAAGTGGTAATAACTCCAACCAACTGTATTTAATGCATTTGTAAAAACCTTTTAATTTGGAGTAATTTTTTTCCTTCTAGTAAAGGTGTGGATTTCCTCGAGCAAACACGACTTTTGAGTGTTTTGAACAGACTGGTAATCTTGTTTTGACAAGGCTCAGCTAAGCCATCGGAAAACCCATCTCTCTGTCGCTCAGACCTTCCCTCGGTCCCCGGGGATCGGTCAGAGCCTCAGACCCACAAGGACAGACACGACATTAGGAAATAAACACCCTTGACATTCATTTTCTTTCATCCCTGCTGATGTCCTGCAATTGCCTGAAGAGACTGCGATAGCACTTTG